TCCCCATGCCCGGCTGTGTCTGACCGCTCTGCCGCTGCTTTGCTGTCACAAACAGGGCTCTCCTGCCCTGCCCTGCCTGTGCTGGGCCCCGTCAGCTGCCCGCTCTGCGATCCACGTAATAACCCGATCATGTCAGAGGACACCGTAACTGACGCGGGTGTGACCCCCGGGAAAAACCCAGCGCGCTTTCTAGTGACATAACCAGCGGGGGAGAAACAAAAAAAAAAAAGACACCAACCAACCAAAAAAAAACCAACCAAAAAAAACCCAACAAAAAATACCCACCAACCCACAGGAAAAGGCACCAAACTGGATGTCTGTCTCTCATAAGCTTTGGGATAAGTCTGAGCTGCGAACACACCCGAAGCGGAACCTCAGCCTGCCTGGCAGCCACATCCCGATGGGCAGCCACAGCCCGCAGCCCACAGGCACCGGCGGGAGGCAGAAGTGCTGCCAAGCTCGGCACTCAGCCTCGGCTTTAGCGCGGCAAAGCACACTCAAAGAAAGGCTAAACGAAACTGAGAAATTCAGGAAAAGTCCTTTCCTGAGACCTCCAGCCAGGGTCGCAGGCACAAGGAGGGACAGCACCTCGGTCTGCGGAGATGTCAGGGAATGCTGGAAAACCCAGTGCTGAAGCTGTCTGCTTTATTTGTGCTTCAAAGCGTGGAAGAGCAAGTGACGAATAATTTCTCCTGCTCTAGCACTAGGCAGCAGCTCCTGAGAACATCTCCTGGCTGGGGCGAACCCGAGGGTGACTGCAACACTGAGTAACTGAGAGGCTGTACCCGATGGAAGAGTATGAGGGAAGATCTGAAGTTTGCTGATGTATCACAACTTCCACAGCCAGCAATTGAGAGCAGGCTGCTCCAGTAACAGAGCTCCTTGAGGGACGGACAGCTGCAGAGGAGCACAGGGCTTTGATTCAAATCACTCACTGTATATAAATTAATTTTATAACCCCATCCACAAATTCTGATTAATCCGTGATAGCCAGATACGATTCCTTTTTCTAATTTTTAAATTAAATTCCTTGGGCTGATACAATATATTGGTTCCAGCATGTTCAAAGGGAAATAGAAGGACAGCCCACTCCCCCAGAGAAAATTTAAGCTGGTGCTGTGGGTACAAGCCATTGGCTGCCCAGCGACAGGGTGAGGGGCACCGCACAAGGGTTGGGCATGGGTGCAGCTGGAGAGGTGGATGCTGCTTTGCAGACCCTGCAGAACTAAAAAATGGGGCTGCAGTCCCTATGGCAGCCCCCAAACTTAGATTAGCAGCTCTGGCAGAGGTGGGGGAGGAGGCAGACTCGGGTTGAAATTCATTTTCCCCCTTCCTGCACCTCATTATAAGTTCCACCCACATAAGACCTAATTACTTGGCTTTTATGCTGGCAAAGTGGATTTCATCCTTGCTGTTTCCCATGGTGGTTCCCTTCATTTTCATGGCGGCACTGATGGTTACAGCTTATTGATGTTTTCACTTTAGTGATTTAAAGCGGAATACATTTTGTTATTAGCACTGGTTTCTCTCATTGCTGCTTTAATCAAAGATGCAATTTAAGGCAAAGGATTGTGTGTAATGGTAAACAGTAGGATAATGCCTTGAGAGAACAGAATATTAATGTGTTTTTATTTCTCCAAACTGTACTTATAATGTATCTAGGATTGCTTGGCTCCCAAGACACACGTATGAGGTGCTCCCTTTCCTACCACAACACCTGCCTTGCACAAGGGGTAAGCATGGTGTGCATGTGTGTGCTGAGGGGGGAGAGGGAGGCACATGTGCTGCCTCACACACTGCTAAACCCCCTCTGTCTGTGTCCCTCCTCCACAGGCACAGGGTCTGACCACCGAGCACCATGGCAGTGCCCACGGGGAACAGACACAAAACCCGGAGCGCTCAGGGATGCTCAGGGTCTGGTTGAGCACTGGGTCCCCCCAAGTCAGGAAGACCTACATTCAAACACTGAAATAAAATAATGGTGATTATGGAACTGCTGGAGGAGGGGACCTGGTGCCCCACGCTAAGGCTGAAAGGCAAGAAGTGAGCCCGGTGCCTGCTGCCTTCCCGTCATCCCGCATCATCGGCGGCCATGCACTCGCTCACTTTCCTTCCCGAGGATCTGACAATTTGCATTTCAAGGCAAGATTAAATATTGAAGTTTTGAGCGCTTCCATGTGCTTCAGGAGGAGCCAAACAGACCCGCGCTGGAACAGGCTGAACACAGAAAAGCCATTTGTGCCAAACTGCTTGGTTTCCTCTTTGCAGAGCCATGATAATGTGATATCCGACAGCTGAATGTAGGCCACAACAGGCTTTTATAGTTGGAGGGGTGGAGGACGGAGGGAGGGAGGGGGCTGAATCCACGGTGCTGCCAGCCAAATGCACGAAAATGATGAGAGATTTTTGGGGCAGGCTGGAGACTCCTGGCCACTCCCAAGATCCACATATTAGCTTCACTGTTAGCACAAGCTCAGGGCCTGCTGGAGGGGAGCCTGGAGAAGGTAGAGCAGCAAGGACAACTCCCTGGCCGTCAGTAAACACTAAATGAAATTCTTGGCCTTGTGCTGCACAGACACTGGGATTTGTGGAGGATGGGCCATGACTGGTGGCCAGCTTCCCATGGAGGCAGCCGCACCTTGCAAGGAACAACCAGTTGCAGCAGTTTGGTTTAGTTAATGGATTCTTACTGCCTGTTTCTCAGCTCCTGGTGAGGAGAAGGAAAAGGCAGGAGGGTTGGTCTGCTTTGGCTTAGACACTGCCACTGGGGCCTTGGCGTGGCTCGGTGCTGTGAGCTAAACCTGGGCCTTGCTGGTGGGAGAAGAGGTGTTGGGAAAGTCAGAGGGTCATCCTGCCTTCCTGAACCTGAGTGGTGCTGGTGGAATGGGGACAGTGCAAGCACCATCTTCCCCATCAACTGTACAGTCTGAGCCCCAAAAGTACCACAGAGACCACAAAGCACTTGCCACCAGATTAAGAGTATTAATCCCTGCAGGGATGAAGTAGCAGCAGTTTCCCACCACGCATCCTCCAGCACCTTCATGTGAAATGTAATGGGTTTTTTTTAATAAGGGTTGCGATTCCTCCTCTCTGCTTTATAGTCATTTTATGTCCTAATAGGCTGCAAAACAGTTGCCTCACTCCACCCCAGATGCGGCCACATTTCTGTGGTGAGGAAGAACTCTGGCAAGTGCGCCGAAGTCGGGTGCTTTGGTTAGAAAATTATACATTGCATTAAAAACCTGTATTAAAGAATAATATGCGGTCTGCAAAAACATTCAAACAAAACACTTCAGTGTTAGGAAGTGTCTTATTTACAGCGGTGGGAGCTGCTTGTGCCCTTTTCCCTCCCCTGTCCACAGGGCAGAGATAGAGCTTGGGAT